TAAAATCTATGATACTATTTCCCTTAGCTTTAGTAAAAGTTAAGCCTCACAAAAAGTCATTCATAAATAAAGATGGCCGTAAATATAAGATTATGAGGTAAATTAGCGGATAAATTTTATATGCAATCACGTGGGGCCATAAGAGACCGCCGGGTGGTCCTGGTATTTCTTGCGTCTCATAATATTAATCCTATGCCGTAAAGTGGTCCTTATTATTAAGGTTGTGGTGTCACGCGGAGCAAAATAATTTCACGATAAAGCATAGTAACTTTTGCTCAATGTCTAATCATGGGATGGAAGCACTAATGAAATTCAATCTAACAATGATAAAACAGATCTAAAATTAAAAAAATACTTAAATATAATTACGTCCTTCCTTTAAACTGTAATGTAAGTCTTACTAATATTATAAATCTGAATGTTTAGATGGTTGGATGTTTGTTTTAATGTTTCAAGAATGGCTTCATGGATCTCGAAGAAAATTGGCCTAGAATTAGAACTAGAAATTGGCGTAGTGTGTAAGAAACCATAGACTACTAGTTAAGTTTTTAAAATACGCGCAGACGGAGTCGCAAGAGACAGCTAGTCTAAGCATAAATACATGCTATCTTAATTGGTACTTTGAGTGTTACTTTCTCAATATTAACAACAGGAATATAACAATATGGTACTTTTCTTTTCAAATAAATTTACTTTAGAAATATATTTTTTATTCGATGTCATTTGTTTTGTTTTATCCATTCTCATCCCACCAATAGTCAGTCACGGCCTACAAAACGTGACAAGGGTGTTTTGTGCGCGGGTAGTCACCTCAATTATAGATTAAAACCCCGTTTTCGTATTTATTCGTAGGAATTTTTTAACATCACGAACAAAAGCCCTCGTTAATCACATGTATTCGATTATGAGAATTAATAATTAATTTTCACCAGTTATTCCCAAAAACAAAAAATGGAACATCCTATAATCTGGTTTTATTTATTTATTTAAATAAAATCTCATAATTTTTCAAAGGACTGAAGTATTTACAAGGGTCTGTATAATGGAATCCCGTTTCCTTCTGGAATTAATAGGCTATTAATAGGGTGATGGGGAACCGTTGAGAGCACTCGGGAGAAGGCGGTTATGACATAAGCAAACTAATGCCCGTACTAACGTGTTAAAGACGGCGACCGCACGAATGTCTAACTGCGAGTTTCCACTACCGAAACATCTGTTTGCTCCATAACTATTTTTGAAATTAAAGCTACCTATCGTTTGAACATTTTTGACAATCTTCCTGTACAAGGAATACGTCGTACAAATTGTTTAAATATCCAAACAACATTATCATATGACGGTTTTAAGAACTTAACATAGATAAAAGAGAAAAGAAGTCGTGGTATTTTCTAAGTGTACTTCTATAAGTGTTGAAACCGATCTGTGAACTTTGTTGAATGTGATAGTTATTGTCTTATAGCTCGTGGGATTGCACCGACAGCGAATAAAGCTCGTGCATTTATTGACTGTACGTTTTCATAGCTCGCACCGGTTTTATAGTGCAGTCCCACACGAGCATAATCGTAAAAATAAGTTGATATTGGTGTGGCGTGGTTTTTTATAAGTTTTGCAGTAATTTTTATCATCTTTATTGGCTTACTTGTTTATACTTAAATTAATTATCTTTATCGCCCGCGACTCCGTCCGTGGAATGTAAAAATGGTAATTAGTAGCCTTTCCGTTCTCTCAGGCTATGTTACAACAATGGCAAATTATAGCTAAATCCAAGCAGCTGTTCTGGAGATACCTTCTAACACTATCTACACCATTCCAATTTATAATATTAGTAAGATACAGTCTGTGAGACATCTGTAGCGCAAAGCACTTAAATCGATTGTTATTCAATAATTTAAATTTTTATAATCGAACGTTTATTTTTTGAGATGCAATCTTACTAAAATTATATAAGTAAGTAAGTAGAAGTAAGAAGAACCTCCGAAATAAGGTAGTGTAACACAGTTTGTGAAGCTTGTTGAATCATTCCACAAAACTATATAGAACATAGCACCCTATTGTTCTGTATATTCAAATGCTCTATGTATGTAAAATAATTTCCTTCGGCATTAAGCATTCCGGCATAATACCATCCATCAAGGCAAATGCTTCAACACGGGTCGGTCGGCTTGATTGGCCCCGGCGTATCTGTCTCCATTACACGCGACAGACGTATAATTTGCGGCTGGAATTCATGTGGTCCCAATCCGACAACTTACTCCGTAGAAATTCATGTCTCCCCAATCTGACATCGGTGTTCTTGGATATTGACATGTTGTAATAAATTACGTAACCTCCGATAATAATTTCAGTGGACCTAGCACATTTGTGAGAGTCCATCGGGCATAAAGTTCACCAAAAAAACTCATACTAATTTTGATATAAATAACAATAACGATACAATCAAATAAATATAATACAATATTTCTTGGTAATGTTTAAATTACATGTCAAATTACGATACTATGGCGATTGCCTACAGATACTTTTAATAAATCAGGAAAGTTATTATAGACTAATAAAATAGACTAGAAAATATAACAGTTAAAACCGTCATCTAACGACGAATTAACTGATAGTAATTTTTTTATACATCTATAACTTTACTTATGCAACAAAGACTGATTACTGAACTGGGGGGTGGGGGGGGCTAGATAAAATGCATTCGCTTCGAAGTGATTCCATAACGAATTACAAAAATGCACAGAACTTATAATAATCACCAAAAATTACGCGACAATAACCGATAATCACGTGACTTATCAAAAGTTATTTGCAGTTCCATACATTTTTGAAGTTCGTTATGGAATCACTTTGAAGCGAATGCACTTGATCTAGCCACGCTTAACTGAATTTATCATCTCATCTCCCAATAAATTACAAACCTAAACAGAATTACTTAAGTACTATACCAAATCGTTAGTATAAAAAAAATGTTATTCACAGGATCTTTACTCTTTATATCTATTGACTTTTAGTATGATGTACACAAAAAATCTAATTCAGTACTCATATTATTATAACTAGATTATTTTGTAATAGAAATTGTTTTAAGGAACATCGCTTTCATAATAATTGAAATACAGAACAATTTTTAGGCTTCATAAAGCTCTGGCTATAAAATTTTAATATCCAAAGTACAGACAGACATCTCTCATCCGCGGTAATGTTATTTTTATTAATCTGAATACAAACATTCGACATCTGTGTTGGTTTATTGAAATCGTCTGTCATTTCGTCTTCCTATATTGTCATTGCAAACATAAATATATAACCTACTAGCTGATTTCATCCGTGCAGGTTAAAAAAAAAAACTAATTACTAGACTATGTGTTCTTCCAGACTATATTCTACATCTATGCCAAATTTCAGTGACATTTACGCAGCCGTTCTGGAGGTACCTTCCAGCATAAAGTCATCCGTTCATCCAAACATTCGCATTTATAATATTAGTATGATATATGGAGTGTTCAAGTTCGACGTCTTAAAGAACATTTTCGAAATGTCATTTAGCAACCTGACAACACCGAGTCACTGTTGTTTATGGTTAAATGGTACCCTTAGTATAGATTTCGTATGAGGCTCCCTTAATAACTGAAGCATAAAAAACGGACTCACTAAGGGTTATTATATTTTAATGTTTCACATAACACTGTCAATCTATTTAGCAAAATTTGCCTTGTTACTCTGTCGTGTCGTCAACCTTCCTTGCAATGTTTTCATAGCTGACTGTATGTAAATTAAATAGTGTTTGCCTCTCAAACATTGACAACAAATATAGCAAACTGTCAACGTACGTGTACGACAGTCAATGTCAAGTTGTGTTTTTGTTTGTACAGTCTGGTATACTTATTTGACCCGGTGTGCAAAAAGGCATTAAATTACAATAGCTCTTTATTCAATTTCAAAGTGATCCTATAAGGGTTCCGTTTTTCTCCTTTCGAGGTACGGAATCCGTAAAACCATCACAAGGTTATACGTTGTCTTGTCTTACCATGTGTGTAATTTTTCGCGTCCAAGAATGTTGATGTTTTTGACAGAACGAAGCGCGATTGCATCGCTTCTATGACAGGACCAGAAAAGTTAGTCGTATTATAACATTAATGAAGACTACAATAATAGGTTTTTTAAACATTTTTAAGATTTAAATTAAGGACATAGCATGAAAGATAATATTAATCTACATACTATGCGTATGATATGTTATGTTATAGATATATTTCTTTTACTGGAAATTGGACTCAGTCTGGCGACCTTGGATAGAACATATTCTTTGAGTAGTTAAAAACTAGAAGGTCTGGTTTCAACTACTAAAATAGTAGCTCAATTATTATTTTAAATTGTTTTAAAAAATATAAAAAATCTATATAATTGATTGATGATTTTTTTAATGACTTTATTATCAATTAATTTCCCTTAAGATAACGAAATACAGGACTTATTATTACAATAGGATAAGATATCAATGTTAATATGCGGTCCATTTCCGTTACTTTACAAAATAACAATTTTTGGACGCATTCGGTCGATATGCAATTTGCCGATATTTTACGATTTACCGGGGCATAGAACAAACAGGCGTCGTCAAACACGTCTTACATGACAGACATTCTATTGATACAATTACATTATATTTAAAGTTGGTCAGTGTAATTTGTAAATCATCTTTACACACCATATCTAACAATAATTAATAACAAGCGTGAAGTTAATCTTCTTTACATAACTTGGTCATCATTTTATAAAAATCTTGGATATCACAAACATTTATTTGCTTTGCAGTCTATTTTTAGGCGAAGTCTACGTTCTCGATATTAAGGTGAAATGCGTCTTAAGGTATGTGAGGTAAAGGTATAGTGTAGGAGTTGAATTTGTTTGTCAATTATACCATATTAAAGTACCATTTCCACCGTGCGAAATAATCGCGTACATTCAGTAGTAGTAATGTGATAAATAATAATAACGTGTGTTAGTAAGTTCATTTATTTTTGCAAAGTCTGTGCTCACATCCTCGCTCTGATCCAGGAGTTGAATGAGCTGACGCGGGCGAAGCCGGAGGGTCGGCGCGTGTCGCACGATCCCGAGCCGAATGATGACACGCCGATCTATAACAACAAAACGAATATGTTTTAGTATATTGAAAATTACTTTCCCATAGTTGTCAAGCATGTAGCAAAAAGACAAAAATCTATCCGACTTTAATTCATCGGAGCAGATTTTCTAAACATTTAGAACTGAAGATGAAGATTCGAACAATATTCAGTTTTGGGTACCTCTAAGGAAGAGCAATCGTAGATAATTGCGATGTGACGTAATGACCAGACTGACACATACAGAATGACTGCAACCTCGTTCGACTGGCATTAGTCGTTTTTATGTTTTAGAACTTTTAATATCAAAATGTTGGTTAATTCTATGGAAACAAATGTAATATAGAGGTAAAATATAAAATAGAGAGCAAGGACATACAAGGAGGTTGTTGGAGACAAGCGGGCCGCCGGAGTCGCCAGTGCAGATGTTTCCAGTAGCTCCACTGATGCACAGCGTGGACTCGACTATCATGTTTCCGGAGAACGAGTTGCGGCACGCTTCGTTGGTGATCACTTGCACGCGGGCGTGCATGAGGTCCGGACTCGCAGGCGCCGCTGAAAGCATTGCGGACACCAAATGAAAATCACCAACATTTAAATAAGTTCTCATTTAAATCTTTCTAATAAACCATCAAAGAGCTAAACTAGTGGCCTCCGTGAAAACGATCGCAAGGAATTGTACGCACCATGAAATTTTTCTTTGGTTCAAATTATTATTCATAATCCCATGTTAATGAAGCTAGAAATTGTCAGGGTAAGATAGCCCCGATAAACTTGTCAAATACACGTGTAAAAATGTATTTATATTAATGTTTGTCACACCTCCCGTCACGTCATGCCTACACCGAGGGGATCTAGGATGTAAATTTGGAGTGAAAAAATGTGGCGTGAGTTAAAATAGAGTCTATCGCTCACCGTCGCTGGTCTTGCCAAAGCCTATGGCCCAGGCCCAAGCGCCGGCGTACGTGTTACTGCCCGACGCCAGCCCAATGTTGCGGATCGTATCTGGAATTAAAATGTCCCAGGACTAAAACTAAAATATTTTCACTAAGATACAAAATCCAATAAAAAAGATGGATTTTCGTAACCTGATTTATATGCATACTAACTGCTATAGTTGACCCAGTTGATAGTGATGATGGCAATGTCATTCCTTATCCTATTAACGTTGTAGTTAGCGTGGAGCTCCATCCTGTCAGAAGTGATTCTGGTGCCGCCGGTGAAGACACGAATGGAGCCCAGCACGACGGTCACGTGGCGTACCATCTGCCGCCCGTCGAACAAGTTGTGAGCCGCGGTCAAAACCTTCGTATTGCTTATCAGTGTACCGCCACCGATAGACTGGCCACCGTTCGCCAGCGTCATTATCTGTCCAGCCTACAACGAAGACATAAACAAGAAGCAATGTACTACCCAAACCTAATAAAATAAATCGTAAAATATATAACAATACGTCCTTTTTTTATCTCACCATGTAAGGGTACTGGCCGAGGGCGGCCGGGGTGCCACTGACGATCCGGCTGCCGTCGAAATCGGGCGCGAGCTCGGCCTGCAGGACGGCCTGGGCGCGAGGGATGCCTACACGCTCATGGTAGTTCAGCTCCACGGGCTCGTAGGCCGCCGTCAGCGATCCTAACGCCCCCAAACAGCACAGACTTACAAGTACCAGCTTCATCGCAATACCGGATCAATATTGTGCCTATCAAATTCGGAATTTCCTTCTTTTATAGTCATTAAAATGTTATCTTTTTCATCAACACACTAATTCATCGGTGATAAGCGACTGCCGGAAATTATATCTACATTAAAAATATTATATTACAAATTTAAAATCTTCTTTTTTTGGTAATTATTAATACTGATCATATATACAATATTAATAAATAATCGTTTATACATACATATGTACAACAATATGTTGACTCGGGAAATTACAAAAGGTCAAAAACTCCTAACAAGTACGGCCCCAGCAAAGGCGATCGCATCGGTGAGCGGTGGCCCAATGAGAGTTGTTTAACTTCACATATATTAATTTCTTTCCCAAATATTATGTTGCATCACGTTATTTTCCTTTAGCGTAAGAATATTGTAGAAATGTACATAGGAAATTCCAAAATCGATAAACACATTAAGTACAATGCAATGATGAAGGACTTAGACCCTGAGCCACCGACATTGATAGTAGAAAAGGCGATTAGAAAAAAATTGTATGAATTTAAATCCGACATAACGTGCCCTATCACCCAAATTAGCTAACTTATTTAAGATACAGGGGGTCACAATAAAACAGACAAACAAATAGTGGTTGTTAACATAAAACATTATCAACAGTAATTATCGAGCAATTATTAATCAAATCGCATCTCTAATCTATAAATATTAATAAAATTGAAGAGTCTGTAATATAGAAAAAAACATATTTCGTACGCATGATATACTTGAGTTGAGAAAGAAAATTTTTAAATTTTTTATAGTATTATCTAATAGTATTAATTTTTTTAGTATATATATATGTATGTCTGTCGGTAAGGCCACGTGTGTTCCAGATAATCTCCGCAACGACTGATCTGATTTAAACGGGAAGGTAGATGATACCGGCGGACATATTAAAGGCTACTTTTACTTTTTTTTGTTCTACGCTGACTTAGGGAGGGACAACCGCTGAAATAACATAGAACTTCGTCGGCGTAGAGTTGATGATGAGAGATTTTAACAGTGGTAGAGCCCGCTTTAACATCTTCGCACGAATTGGCCCGGCACGCCCGGTGAAATACCACGACCACACAGAAGACAGGCGTGAAGTGGAAGCAATTCCGCGTTTCGTCTGATGAGTGTGCGTCACGGAGGCCTTATTCAGTCCACTTTCCCTTCCCACCCTTTTTCTTATAAGGCAAGGATGGGAAGTGGAAGTGGACTTTCCGGATGAGAGGATGCATGAAAAGGGAATATATTTTCTTTATGTGTTTCCTCTCCTCCGTCGATTAAAGGTAGGCAACGCGATTTCAGGTGGCCGCTCGCTCGTTTGCCACCATATGATATAATAAAAAAAGGATGTACATGACAAGTATAGTAACAGAAATCCAAGTGCATTTCGTCTCTATACACAGTTTTGACTGTACAATATATCAGTCAGTCACATTACTCTTTTGTATATGTAATTACTTTCATTAATTCCAATAAATGATAAGATTTACTACAAAAACACGTTAAATATTGATAAACAGTCGATTAAAATTGGGTTTTTTAAGAAGATAAATAGGTTTTTTCAATTACGTAAATTAAATGAATTAGTGCATTCAAAATAGAATAGACAATAGAGGTGTTATATTAATTCGCATAAAGCTGAATATTAATTGAGGCTTTAACACCCTAATTTAAAAAAAAAACATGTCAAACTAGTCTTGCTCTATATGTAGTTAATTTATTACTTGTCCTAGTTTCAGATTTACAAAAATACACTTATCCATTACATTTATTCCTTATTATTCTAAAAACAAGTTAGTTTTGTTTATAAGAAATCTGTAGAAAGATTAATTTGTTCTGATTGAACGCATTTGATGGATTGGTCTATGGACAAAGGATTTTTTCGACACATCGTCGTCAATATCAATATTATGAAAGGCGGTAACGTAATTTACCACAACAGTATAATATGTCAATCAACCTTGATACGGTTGATATAGTGACATCCAAACTTTATGGCGGCTAGGAAATACTGCAAGGGACACTGCGGAAAATACAATTATAGGTATTTTGTAACGTAACATAAAAGTAGGAATTTCTAAAAAAAGTTACAAGATTTTAATATGTGTTGTCTCATGATTTTGAATTAGCTATGTACGAGTATTAAGATATTTTTACTGTTTATAAAATTTTCGTAGAATATTTTATGTTAATATAAAATTATTATAACATTAGCGTGTGATTCAGAAAATGATGTGCGCCATATTTTTTACGTCTTACACTTTTAATGCTGAGGCAAATGCTATAAGAACAGGAATTATGTAAATATCGTGAATAATAAGAGAAACATTTGCTTTTGAATGATGCATTATACGGAAAATAAAATGTGCGTCACATGACGGAATAGATGTTTGCACATTTTCATTTAGAACTTATAAGTTCTTGATATTATATTTCTTCAGGCGCCTAAAAGAAAAATACGATTATGAAAATGTTGCGACGAACTCTATTTTCATCTCTAGATTAGATATTTAAAGACCTAAGCTGACAGACATTAAGGTTTATATAACCTATTGTGTCTAAAACCAAAGGAGATGGCAGTCTCCACACTAGCTTTTTTAGATTTGATAATAAGTAATCGTATAACAAAATAATAGATAGGTTAATATACATTTTTCTAATCTTATTCCGACAACATCTGAACATAAAAATGTTATTGAGATATTTCTCTATGTAAAATGTTTCGTTGCTAACGTTTTTCAATGTTTTACGATCAGTTATTTTTTATCTCCATTCCACCATACACAATGTATTTTGTAATGTATCCCCAAGCTATTTTAAATGTTTGCCCAGCCGTTCCCGAATTGACCCTTTTTACAATGTGACAACTTATAAAAGGGTTTTGTATATACAGCCAATAACAAATATTTGTTTTAAAATAATTATAATTATATGCTTCTTATATTTTCAAAGTATTTAAATGATAATAATATAATTTCTTTTTAATTTTTTAGCTAGAAATTTCAGACCGATTTTTTTTTATAATATTACATTTTAAATTATTAAAATTCATTATTTAATCTAAGATGCGTTTAATGTTCCAAGGTTATGCGTCATTTATCGCATCACATTATCAGCCGTGTTACAAATTTCACGAACGCGTTACCACCATTTAAACAAGAGAGAAGAAGAAAAAAGAATAAAAAGGTTAAGGTCTCCAGCCAGTTATTTAACAGAAGAAAAATTAAAGCCATTATAAAAAAAATACGAGAAACTTTTAGAGAACCTCTGTAAACTTGTAGGTTAGGTTAGTTCAGGATATTTATGAAAAATTAATGCCTTCAAAATTACAAGTAACAACAAAAATAGCGCGACTCCTTCGACATATTTAACATAAAAAAGGTTTACCGAAATTGACTTCAAGTTTACGAGTGGGTAGTAAACTTATAAATAGCATGCGAAGGTGCCTCTCGAATGGAATAAAAATTAGATTTCTAAAAGCACTTTACTTGTAATTTTTATATTATGAATGAAGTACACGTCTAATCCTATGCCTTAAAGATCACTCCAAAATTAGTTTATGCCTAACTATGAGTTTCCATTGTCGAAAAACATGTATAAAATATCTCTTTCAATTTCTTTGAAAACAGTGAGAACTAACTGTAAAACGTCTCACGTAATAATACTATTAGATAGATAGATAAAGCCTTTATTCGCTGACAATTATTAAACTTAATATTACGATATTGACAAACTTATTTTCTAGTAATTAACTTATATTAGATGTATGTATAATCGATTTCCCAGCATCCCGTTGTGTGTCAGGTCCCTTGACATAGGCCTCCCCTAGTCTCTTCCACACCTCTCTATCGCGCGCTAATGTTCGAAAAATAATACTATTATAATATTTTAAATAAGAAAGATTTGATTGTTGTTTGTTTGCATTGAATATGCTCCGAAACTACAGAACCGATTTGAAAATATATTTCAATGTTGAGAATCTACATTATCCTCGGGCATAGCTTATATTTGTTATTAGATTTAATTCTTTACAGAAGAAGTAGCGGGCAACTGCTAGTGTGTTATAAACGTGTTGCTGACAGCTACTACAAAATTGACAATAATTGTACAATAGTCACGCAATAATAATTATTATGAACTGAGCGAACGGTATTACCACGACCACATTGAAGACAGGCGTGTAGTGTAAACAATTCCGTCTTTCCTTTAACGAGTTTGCGCACATCCTATAATATATAATCAAGCATGAAAAATCATAACAAAGCCTTTCTCGTTATACATCATTTAAAGTTAATTAAAATTACACTTAAATAAAATGAATTATTAGATGATAAAGATAAATAAATATTATGAAAAATTATTTTGGAAAAAAGCAAGAAAAGCATTATTTCTTTTAGTAATTATATGAATCGTTATAAAACCTGGTATAAATCGAATAAAACAAAAGTATAATTATTACGTTTAATCATAGTAATTAATAGAACGGCCAACATTAATTATTTTCTTCTTATTTTTTAATTTAAAGTTTTTCTTATCTATCTGTAGGTCTGTCCACAAGGCCGCACTTGTACCGGAACATCTCCGTAACAGCTGGACGCAGATGTATGCGGGCATATTTTACTGCGCAGACGAAGTCACGGGCGACAGCTAGTGCAAGATAAATACTATATGAAATAAAGAACACCTTGCCTTAGCGTTTGAAAGGGTGTGTTATTCGTCCAATATGACTTGTGTTGACGATGAGTTTGCGTAGTGTAGGTTACACTCAATTAGCACTACCCCAAACGCAGGCACGCCTCCTATGTGCCTACACTATTAGCAAGCGACGTTCGCTTTAATTTGCTAGTAATATTAATAATTCTACAATGCAGTTAATATTAATAATTTTGAGCTTTATATTAAATGACCAACAGCAACAAGCAAATGAGTAAAACATGCGTGGCCTGTAATGCACAAACGTGGGAAAACTAGAAATAACTTTTTTTTTTTAAAAAACCTAAAGGGACACATTTGATTCTCCAGGGTGAAAAACGATACTACACTTGTGGTCACAATGGAGAAGGTTACCTCATTTGACGTGGACTACGATAAATAATTTGACCTAAATTTTAGATGAAGGTTTTAGTAGCTATAAAATAAAGGAAGTTTGATTTAGATCAACATAATGTTATTAACATCATAATGTTTATCACAAAAAATATATATAATACAAAATCTATACGTATAAAATAAAGTCGTGTTAGTTCCATTATTTATAACGCAAGAACGGCTTTACCGATATGGCTGAAAATTGGTGAGGAGGTAGCTTAGAGCCAGGTGACGGACATAGGGTACTATTTATTCTTTATTTTCGAATTTATGCCTTGAAGAGCTGTTTTTATTTAACTTATCTATGTACTAAGTTTTTTTTATTTATCCACGCGGAAGGAGTCGCGGGCGACAGCTAGTAATAAATAAAACAATTTAATATGTAAATGTATTTTATTTTAATTAAATTATTATATTTCCGTAGTTCAGTTTAGAAACACAAGGTTTTAGACGAGACAGTACTACAGAATGGAACTTTAGTAAACAAATCATTGTCAATTACAAATACGCAAGTTTAACCCGTGCATGTTTAATCGTGTTTACAAAGTGCTGCTTGTTCAGCGTTAACAATTAATTAAATCATTTCATGAACCGAGAATATTACGGCAGCTTTATTCTTACGCTTGATGCGTTTAATAAAATCTATACGTTATATGTTTACTGAGAACTTCGTGTTATAAGAAAATTGCGGGATAAACGTGACATTTAACATAGTTAAAGCCTTTTTGATTCAGAAATAAAATATCTTTGATTATTAATTACGGTCGAATTTCAACCAATGGGCGATGATGGGTACTGGTCTATGATTAAGAAGCTACCTCTTAATTTATTTAACATACAATAATACAAATATACACGAGTAATTTCTGTTTTTGCTGTATTAAAATAGCCTTTGCGCATATTTGCTTATATGGTTCTTTAAGAGTCTCTCCTGTCAAAGTTTGCAATTTGCACATTGACCCTTGTACGAAGGAAGCGATTTTTTAATCATATAATACTAAACGTTCATTACCATTTTTTTAATTTTTTAACATTTTGAAGGTGATATATCTTCAGTATAATGACGAAGAACGTTTAGGATTTTGAGAAAGAACTCTTTAGAAGGTGTAGAGTCGACAGGCAATTGTTCAATTTGTTCCATCATCGATTCGTATCTTTTCTGTTCGTGTTTACGATATATTTTTATAATGTCTATTTCTTTGTAAAGTCTTCTTACTCGCTCCACTTTATCAGGTTCAGATTGTCCGTAGCACGATTCGAATTCTTTCCGTTGGGAGTTGTTGCAATTTTCTAAGAAAGCCACCGCAGGCCACGAACATTTTCTATTTTGGATGTCCGAACTTGTCTTAAGTGAGACATACTTACTGTCAACGTAGTCCATTAAATCGTTCTGCATTAAAATAAATAAAAGACAAGAATTAAAGTAAAAACACGGTAGAATTGACAAGACTAAAACGAAAAAATCCATAACTCCTGTTGGCCAATTGTGGACTTTCTTGGCAATAATTCAGACTGATTTATCCCCTTTATTTCTGATACATTTATTTAACAAAGGTATTTTTAAAAATCTGATTTAAATATTTTTATTACTAATCTACAAAAGCTAAAGAAAAAAATTAACATTAATTAAAACAAATTTATTTTTTAACCAGGTAGAAAGGCGAAATTGCTTCATTTTCAAGCCTATCTTCTGTGTGGTCGTAGTATTTCACCGGGCGAGCCGGGCCAATTCGTGCGAAAATGTTAAAGCGGGCTCTACCTACTAATAATAATATTATGCCATTACTTACCTGCATTTGTAGAAGTATGCCTAAATCAGAGCATACTTTATCGGCGTGCATATACGCTTTTGTACTCTTCAGGTTACATAGAGAAAAAGCCAGTAAAATTGGTAACTTCACGGTGTAGAAAGCAGATTTGAAATAATTCAATAAATTGTAATATTCAATTGTAAATTGTTCATAATCGTTTGATCTAGTCAAAGATATGTCCATTAGTTGGCCGATATTCAAAGCAAAATATGTCTGAAAAAAAAACATAATAAACTATTTAAATCAATCAATCTCTCTCACTATGATATTATATAAAAAATATCAAGCAAATTATGAAAAATCTCTTCTCTTCTCTTCTCTTCTCTTCTCTTCTCTTCTCTTCTCTTCTCTTCTCTTCTCTTC